AAATCCTAATAAAAAAAAAAAAAAAAATTAAAATATAAAAAAATATAAAGTTATAGCATTCTCATTCGGATTCCAGGGACCTAAGAACAGGCTCTGTCTGCCCGGGTCAGCAAGGACATATGAGAGGCTGACAAAGGAAAGGAGACAGGTGGTGAGTGTGTAAGTGCTGTCAACTAGTGCATAGAGGAGCACAGCACAGTACCCTGCCTGTATAGATAAACATACAAATAAAACAAAGAAAACGAAAATTGTGGGCAAATCACTCACCAATTAAATATAAACACAAAAATGTCACAATGCCTCAGAGACAAAAGAGCATCACAGTCCACACAAAGCAGCAAGATAAACCAGGAAAAACAAGGGACCAGGATACAGACCCAAAACACATCCCTGAAGAAGATGCAGCATTGGAACTCCCTGATAAGGAATTCAAATGAATTATATTTAGGTATCTTCAAAGGACTGAGAGACAGACCAAGGAAAACACAAACAAAACCCTAGAAGAATTTTGGAAGAAAATACAAGAACAAAATGATAAAATAAATGAAAACTTAGAAATGATTCTAAATCTACAGATAGAAATCCAGAAGATTGATACTAAATTGTCAGAAATAGATAACACATTGAAAGGGCAAAGGAGTAGAACTGATGCAATGGAAGACAGAATTAATGAGATTGAGGACAAATACCTGAACACTTCTTTGGAAAGGGATCAATCAGAAAAAAGATCAAAACAAAATGAAGAAAACCTAAGTTTCATGTGGGATACCATCAAAAGGAATAACCTACGTGTCACTGGAATTCCAGAATAGGAAGAGAAAAATGAAACCATTGACAAAACTGTCCAAGATTTGTTGGAGGAGAACTTCCCTGACATGATGAAAGATGAGAATAAATCCATTCAGGAAGTCCAATGAACCACAAACAGGGTAGACCCCAAAAGAAAAACACCAAGACATATCATCATCAAACTCACCAAAAGCGAAGACAAAGAAAGAATCATGAGAGCAGCACAGGAAAAATGAAAAGTTACCTACAAGGGGCAATCAATAAGACTAAGCTCAGATTTCTCAACAGAAACCATGTAGGCGAGAAGACAATGGGATAATATATATAAAACTCTGAAAGAGAAAAACTGCCAACCTAAGAATTATATACCCAGCAAAACTGTCCCTCAAATATGATGGTGAAATTAGGACATTTCCAGAAAAGCAGAAATTAAGGGAATTTGTTAAAACCAGACCAACCTTACAAGAGATGCTAAAGGGAGCCCTTTGGACAGAGAAGCAACAACAGCAAACAACAACTGACCACTAACACACATGATGATATAACCCAGAAACCAACCCAGCTATGGAAGTATCCAAAGTAAGTAAGCCTACAAGATTGCAAACAGGGAACCAGAGACACCAACCAACAAATGAGGACAACTACAAGCCACAAAGAGGGAAAAAAATCTGTGTTGTTACAGAACTTCTAGATGGTAGGGAAGTCAAGACAACTATAAGACAGAACGGACTATTCTACACTTCAGAAGAAAACTATAAATCACAGGATAACCTCAAAGAAAAATGATAAACCTTCACATCAAAATAATAAAGAGGACCAGCACAAGTATTTAGCAAATACTACAACAATAGCAATGAAGGAAATGATAACATGATTCATAAACAAAACGAGTTCAGCATAGAAAATTATATGGAACAAAGAAATGGACACAATGAAAAAGCACATGACAAAAATGACAGCAACAAATTCATATTTGCTGATAATTACATATCTGGCAAGGGACTTATCTCTAAGATTGATGGAAAACTCCAATGCCTCAACACCAAAGGAATTAACAATCCAATAGAAAAATGGGCAGAAGATATGAATAGACACTTCACCAAGGAGGATATTCAGATGGTCAGTTAATATATGAAAAGATGCTCACAAATACTGGCCATCAGAGACATGTAAATCAAAACAACAAAAATCAATACACTGTCTCACCCCAGCACTGATGGCAAGGTTCAATGAGACAGAAAATAAATGCTGGTGGGGATGTGGAGAGATTGGGACTCTCATACACTGCTTGTGTGACTGTGAAGTGACACAACCACTGTGGAAAGCAATATGGTGATTCCTTAGAAAGTTAGAATTGGAGATACCATTTGACCCAACAATCCCATTACTAGGTATATATCCTAGAGAGGTGAGAACCAGGATAGCAATAGATACATGTATGCTCATGTTCATCACAGCACTATCTACAAAAGCAAAAAGATGGAAACAACCTATGTGCCCATCAGTGGAAGAGAGGATGACCAAACTACGGTACATACACATATCAGAATGCTATGCAGCACTGAGTAATAATGTAGAGTCTGCAAAACACCGCATAACATGGAGGAACTTGGAGGATATGATGCTGAGTGAAGTAAGTCAATCACAGAAGGACAAATATAGTACTGGTTTGTTGTGGAGGGTCAAGGAAAGGTTTATATATGGAGGGAAACTTTGTTGGTTGCCAGGGGTGGGAAGGGAGGGGAGGGAACATTGCCCAAAAAAAAAAAAAAAAAAAATGCATTGACCATGTCCCTTTAGTTTTGTGTATTTCACTGTACATAAATTGTATTTCAATAAAATGCATGGAAAAAAAAAAAAAAGTCTGAGGTTAATTCATTCTGTCTGTGGTGCCCATAGGACCCCCATGCCACAAGCTACCATCACTCACCTTGTGCACTGATGCCCCCAAGCCAGCCAGCACTGACAGCACCTCGATGTCCACTTTCCGGGTATACGTCTGTCCTGTGATGATGAAAGCCCTAGGATTGAACAGAATGGGCTCTTAAGTGGTAATATTTCAGAACATAACTCTACTTGGTCCTCCTGGTTTGCTAGGTCACAGAGTCCAGAGGAGCTGACTGGGAACTTGGCCTGGAACACAGTCTTTCTACTTTTTTTACTGATGATCTGACTCGAGAAGAAAGCACAGTCCAGTGAACCCCATGTCCAGTGGAAGGGCCTAGAGGGAGCTAGGGTGGAGCCTGGTAGCCACATGGGAAAAGTCAGATTTCAGAGACCCAGAAGCCCTCGGTAAAGGAAACAAAAATAGCAACAAAAGGCTAAGGTTACTGAAAAAACTCAAAATTCCTTATAAATTTTAAGAAAACAGAAACAAGATTGTAACAGAATAAAACCCAGGCCAGAGATGGAAATAAATGGGTAGAACAAAGGAAGAAAAAAGACAAAAAGCCAAAGTCTCATCTAGATATATACCGAGTGCAAGCCTTTCAGTAATTGAATTGGGAGGTCAATGTTTTCCCATTTACCTACCTCTTAAATCCTGCCTTTTCTGTCACCATCTTGTCAAGCTGCTCTACCTTGAAGAGAAAAGACACAACCCTATAGAAATCTAGGCATGTCTGAGACCATCACGGTGTCATCTTCCCAGGTCTCTGTCCTTCCTCCTCCTCATCTCTCCTGTCCCTGGAGGTCAGCCCTGCCGGGGGCGCCCACCCAGGACTTTCAGTGTACCTTCTGGTCATCTCCCTCGAAGAGCTGCAGGAAGCTTGCCTGCGTGCCAGTGGTACCCTTCACGCCTCGGAAGCGCAGGTCGTCTCGGACACGCTTCACATTCTGAATGTCCACACAAAGATCCTGAATCCAAAGACAGCAACGTTTCCCAACTGTGGTCAGCTGAGCAGGCCTGAAAACAACCCAAAGACAACACAGAAGACTCAAACCAAGGCCTCACCTCCAAAAAGCCTCACTGCTTCTCCCAACGGCCACTGTTGGCCCCTGTTGGGGGAACAAGTACAGTAAGAGTTGGACAAACTAGTAATGTCAAAATAAGTGCTAAAAACAGTCCAACTAAATGATAGGTAAGGAGCCTAATGTCATTTACAGATGTTCAACGTTTATAAAACTAAACGACTACGACTAGCACAGCACTTTCCTCACCCTCAAGAGGCAATGTAAGGGCAGGGACAATGCTTTTACTCATGGCTCGTCCCCAGACCATCACCAAGTCTGTATTATACCGTCACCTAACAAATACAACTCACCGAGCAACTACCACAGTGAAGAGAACAGACAAGGCCCCTGTCTCTGCCCAATGGAGCTTATGTTGTTGTGTAAACAAGATAAAGGAAGTAAGTATTGATCCTACAAATGGTATGAAAGAGAACAACAAGGTCCAGAAGGCTGGAGAAAGCTGAGCCAGACTGGCAGTCAAGGAAGACCTGTGTGGAGAGCCAAGACCTGACTGCAACGAGCCAGCCGTGCTGTGGAGAACCCAAAACACACACAACCCAAGGTCATGCTTTCTAACACAACAGCTAATGGCTTTGTTTCCAGCTGAAGTCTAAATCAATCCACTGCAGATTTGTTTCTGAACATAAAACATAAATACAAACGAACTGTGATAATGTCCAAGATCTGAAAGATGGCCTAGTCCATCTCAAATGTTGTTGTTGTTATGTGCCGTGGAGTTGGACCTGACTCATAGCGACCCCTCCTTGGGTTTCCCAGGCAGTATCACTACGGAAGTAGATTACCCCATCTTCCTTCTGAGGAGTGGCTGGTGGGTTTGAACCGCCAGCCTTCTGGTTAGCAGTCAAGTGCCTTAGGCACTATGCTACCAGTTGTTGTTGTTATGTGCCGCCGAGTCGGACCCGACTCATAGCGACCCCTCCTTGGGTTTCCGAGGCAGTATCACTACGGAAGTAGATTGCCCCGTCTTCCTTCTGAGGAGTGGCTGGTGGGTTTGAACCGCCAGCCTTCTGGTTAGCAGTCAAGTGCCTTAGGCACTATACTACCAGAGCTCCCAAATGGGACTTCCCAATTAGGCAAATGAATACTGACAGGTGTGGCACTAAGGAAGTCCACAGCAGGTACATCACAAACCATAGCATATTCCCAAATTAATATCATGGTGGCTCTCTTCAGAGACCCCTGCTTAAAAGGAAAGAACGAACTAAATTAGCATGGACGTGTCTAGTCACAGTCACATGCCATACTATCCCATTCATATGAAATGTCCAGAAGGACAGAAAGTGGATTAGAGGTTGTCCAGGGCCAGGAGCATTGGGGGGAAATGAGAGTGGCTTTATGGGATCTCTTCATGGAGTGACAAAAATGTTTGGAATCTAGATAGGGGTGATGACTGCACAACTCTGAAAATTTCTACTAGTCACTGAATTGTATATTTTAAAAGGATTTATTTTACGTTATGTGACCTGTACCTTAATGAAGTATTATTTTTAAAATATCACAAGGCCTGACACACTGAGGCAATACCTCCCTGTCAACAACACTGAGTTCCTCACACCTGCTACGCACAGCAACGATTAGCTCTGTGGCTTTGTTATTGGAGCCGCCAAGGGAAATGCTAATGCCAAGCAGGATGGTAAAAAAGGAAGGACCTTGATCGGTGCTAGCACAGACTCAGTGGGTTCACACCCAGAGACTGAGCTCCGAACAAAGGCCACATGGGGCTTTTATGGGGTTCTTCTTTCAGGGTATTCAGGGTAAAAGGGTGATTACTGATTAGTTACCTGCAAAAAGATCCTAGCTAGCAGTTTTTACATAAGTGAAAAAAACTTGTGAGAGGAAGAGGAGGGGGAGTATGGGCAGAGGAGGAAGGGAGGGGGAGCAGGGCAAAGGAATTTTCCTCTCTCTATACATGGTTTCTCAAGCCGGATGTCTCTTGCCTCAGTTTGCCTCTCCCTAGACGAGCACCAGGATGACTGCGCTGCTTGAACACGCACCGACAGACGTGGAGGGAGGAGGCGCTGCGGCACAGGCGATACTAGGTGTGCAGGGAAGCCAGCGCAGAAGGGAGCAGTGGCTACAGTCAAGCCACACCCATGTGAGCACCGACTCCTTCCTGTGAACAGCTTCTTCAGGCTTCTCCACCTGCCAAGGTAGACCCAGCCTATAAGCTCATAGGCTTTCAGAAGTTCTAAGAGAGGATGTGCTTGTTGCCATGGCAACAGCCCACCAAAAACGTAACCACAGATGGTAAAACACCACCACTCCAATAATAACACACCTGTCAAAAACTAACATTACCAGGTTTAAAAGAGGATTTTATTTGGTAATCAGAAAAATACTTGTGTATTTTTAAAATGAAAAATACAAAAAATAGAGAGGAAAAAGAAAATAAAAGACTTGCCCTATTATCTCATAAACCAGAGCAATCGATATCAACCCCTTGGAGTACTTTCTTCCAGTCTCTGTGCAACTGATAACGCTGTCATTTCCCCTTAACATTAAGATATGCATGTCTCCACATTATTAAGTCTGACAAGCATCATTTCAATGGCTGCATAATATTCCAACCTGTAGATATAGCATATTTTATTCAAATATTCTCTTATGGTCTGACATTTAGTTTCCAATGTTCACTATCAAAAATAATCCTGTAGTAAAGATCTTTGTACAGAAAGCTTCTCCCGTAATTTGGATTACCTCCTTGGGCCAGATTCTCAAGAGAAATTACTAAATCAAGGGTATGAGTATTTCCTAAGGCTCTTGATACTATCTCAGTGTGTTCCATATACTGCCAGATTCTCTCTCCCACCAGTACAGCTTTTTAGGTAGGTATCAGGCTCATTCCTTATAAGCATTTTTGAAAGATCCTAAGTTACCTGTGAACCTGTGATAGTTTATTTTGGAATACCTCATCTCAAAGGTTACCACACAGAAGAGAGAACTGAAGGCATACCTGGAAGTCAGATGCTTGTAAACCCAGCTCCCCATAAGTAACCTCATCACTTACTGGTAATGTGTGAAACCCAAGGTGGGAAGATCGGCTCGTTCCTTAGCAAAGTCGGCAAGCCGAGAGATCACTCTGGCCAGCTGCGAGGAAGACCATGCAGTAGAAAGAAGGTGAGTTCAGGTTGAGCTTATCACATAATCAGTATCTAAACTTTCAGACAATTGTATACCTAGACCTCCAGCTCACTGAAGACAGAGGCAATACTTTTTCATCTCTGTATCTTAAAGTACCTGGGAGAATTCATAGTAACCGTAATAAGCTATGACGTATTCCTGGATTGTAAGACTACTAGCAAATTCACCCAGAAAAACAGAACTAAGTCATAATCCTGACCCACAGATGCCAGCAACATGCCTCCGGTTTTGCTTCCTCCATCTGAAAGGCTATACTTTGAAAAGCATTTACTTACAGGGTTTTACCCCCCGAATGCAGCTGTTTCTACAGAGTAGATACAGGACTCATGCCCCTGAGACAATCATCATCTATTCAGGTTTACATTTCCCTGACTCTAATTGGCACCCATCTCCTATCACAGAGGACTTAGGGTTGGGAGGAAGTTCTGCCAACTCCTTACCTTTGGCAAAAGCAGGTCAAATGCATTTCTAAGAATAATCAGGTCCTGCAAAGGAAAATGCAACAGTCTTAACATTTAACAGCTTTGTTCAAACAATATTATTACATGACTCTCCTTAACCAGCCCAATGGGGGTGTCTCAGCTAGCACATTATCTCACCATTGGCAACCCATTGTGCAAGACAGCAGGTATGAACAGAAGCTGTTGTGATGACTGTTTTAAAACAGTCAGAACTGTTTCTGAACTCAGAAAGCAGCTCTACAGGGACCCATAAGGAAGAAAGCCTTTCTAGTCAGCAAGCCCTGTTTACATGGCATCTCAAGTGAAGACAGGAAGGAACTAGGCCCATCCTGAATGGTGCACAGCCAACGTCCAGGTCAACCGGGTTTGTACCTTCCCAGGAAGGAGTGAGTGCCGGGGGCTCTGAGAAGCTTTCATGTGGTACTTCTGTTAGTTTTTTCTCTCTCTTTTCATGCCTATAAATTGCTAAGAAAGAAACGCATGCCCCAGAACAAGGTCTAGGAGATGTAAAGTTGCTCCAAGGGAGGACAGAGGCAAGTCCAACACTTGCTTATGGGAGGCTGTAGTTTCTGAGCCCAAAGATATACTGAGTACTTTTTAAGAAGGCTATCCCAAGTGAGAGGATTATGCTACCCAATCATCTTACTCACCAACCAACCACACACAGATGTCTGTATTTATATACCACCTTGACTGAAAAAGTATTTGGAGCAGCTTAAAGATGTCTGGCTGCTTCCTGGATTGGAAGTTTATTGGACTCTAACTTCGGGTGTTATGGATGGATACACGGGGACTCAGAACACATGTGCTACAGCTGTTCCACCCGGGCTTGTATCCTCCCTGGCTATGGGCCCTCGGGCAAGTTCCCCCACCTCTCTTGATGTTTCTCCTCCTCTATAGAGCCAAATAAAGCCAGACCCAATGAATCACTGACCACATCCTATGATCCATTTAAAAGAAATGTCCAGAAAATGCAAACTACCGAGGCAGAAAGCAAGTCAATGGCTCCTCGAGGCAGGGGGTGGACTGACTGCAAACGGGCCTCAGAGAAGCTCCTGCAGGGAGAGAGGAGTTCTAAAAACTGGAGTGTGGTGAAGGGTGGACAGTTGTTAAAACCCATCAGCAGCACATTTAAAATGTGTAAATGTCATGGTGTACAAACATACCTCAATAAGGCGACTGTAAAAAGGAGTTAACAACATTGCTGTCTTACGGGTGTTATGAAGAATAAATGAATTAATACGTGTGAAGTCTTAGAACAGTGTCTAGCACCTGGTAAATCTCAGGAAAACACTTGCTGTTACGCTTCCGTGTTTGACTAGAAAACACTTCTGCTAATTCAAGGTTTTGTTAAACAATAATGCAATCCATCTTTCCTTTCAGAAGTCACAGCCAAGTGGTATGAAGGACTCTGGAAAGAGCCCTATGGAAAATTACTTCAGCCACTAACAGGCTAAGACTGTGGGTGATGCCCAGCAGACCAACTCACACGCAGTACCTACAGGGCTCATTTTATGGAGGTTACCAGGTGCTCACAGTTTATACTGGAAGGATACCCCAAAGCGTGTTCAGCCAGGAAACCCCTAAGAAGGAAGATCAAAGGAGTCACTGCCTAACACTGGACAAAATCAAATCGACCTTCAATGTACTATGAAGAGTGAGTCCTAAGTGGAAGCAAACAACCCAGGCGCATACCGTGTTGTCTCCGACGTAGCAGGAGGTGGCACCAAGGTGAATAATGCCAGCAGCTCTGGGGCAGCAGTGGCCAAAGGTGTGCACGTGAGCCATCACGTCGTGTCGCAGCCGCTTCTCCTCCTCAGCTGCCATGGTGAAGTCGATGTTATCCAGGTTCGATTTCATCTCCTGGATCTGTTCATCTGTGATAGGCAAGCCTAACGTCTGCAGAACAGGCAAAACAAAATCAAACCACCGCAGGGGTCACAACTATTGACCTGAAGTAACATAGACAAAATATCGATTGACGTTGTCCGGAAACAACTTGCCTGAAATTTGGGGCAAACGAGCTAACACAACATGGGGAAGGAAGAGGGAGAACCTTCTCAGTGAATCATGGTAAGTTACGTTCCAGGTAGATCTCAGTAGAGACAACAGCTGCTCCCGCTCCCCTCGCCTCTCCTTGGCTCACTTCCCCACATTCCCGTCTCTCCACTCAAATTTCATCTCCTCAGAGAGGTCTTCCCCAACTTCAGTGTAAAACCACACCCCTCTTCCGCCCTGGGTTGCTCGATCCCTTTACTTTGTTTGTATTTAGAGTACTTAGCACAAGACAGGTCCCTAGGTGGTGAAAATGGTTCACTTCCAACACTAACCTAAAGGGCGGCAGTTTGAACATTCCCAGCAGAACCTTGGAAGATGGGTCCGAAGATCTGCTTCACTTTAAGATTAAAACGAAAACCAAAACCTGCTGCCTTGAGCTGACTCTGACTCCCAGCAACACTACGGAACTTAGCAGAACGGGCCCAAGGGTTTAATCTTTACAGAAGCAGACCGTCACACCTTTCTCCTGTGCAGTGGCTGGTGGGTCCAAACTGTCAAACCTCCCATTAGCAGCCTAACACCTAACCGCTGCACCGCCAGGGAAAGCCCTAATGAGCAATTCTACTCTCTAGCCCAAGGGGTGCCCGTGAGTAGGAATCCACTCAACTGACGGCATCACGTAACATTTTCACACATTTGTCGCCTGTCTCTCCCCTCTACCAGAGCTGCGTCCCCTGTGAGAAGTTTACTGACTGCTTTATCATTAGTGCTTGGCACAGGAGAGTCCCAAGTATGGGACCCAGGTGGATTTGCTCAGAGAAACCAAAATTCAGAATTCTGTAAGCAGTTGTGCCAGCAAATAAATTCCATACAGCAAGCTCAGAGCAACCGGAAGCAACTCCAGGAGACAGGGATGAGAAATGAACACACCAACGGCATCTCACGTTCACCCACCACAGGAAGAAACCAGGCTGGCAGAAAACAAAGCCAAGCACCCACCCAGCTGGTAGCCCGGAAGGCCCTAAATCCCTGGCCCCATGCACTGAGCACGCCAATCAGGGAGCGACCACGTAGTCAAACCTCACCTGACACTCCCAGGCCCTGGGCTTGCTTCTTCCTTACACCTGTGCTGTCCCACGTGCTAGCTTCATGTAGCTATTTAAATGTAAATGAACTTAAACCACATAAAAGTGAAAATCCACTTCCCCAGGCTCCCTAGCCACATTTCAAGTGCTCAGTGCCCACACGTGGCAGGGCTGCTTGGCCAGGTCAGTGGCTGCGACAAGACACGGGAGCTCCACCCAAAGCAAAGCAGTAGAGGGCAGCCTACCCACATGGCTTCCTCCCCGCAAGCAATTTCCGTTCTCCAAACTTAGGCTCTCTCCACTCACCCTAATCTCTCACTACCCCCAAATCTGTTTCTTACCTACAAAATTATTATGCTATTATTATTCACGTTGCTAATTTTGACATCCTTACTAACAGGCAGGTGTCCCTGAGCAAACAGTTAATGCTGCGAACCGCAAAGCTGGAAGTGTGCCTTCTCCCAGAGGCACCTGGGAGGAAAGGACTGGCGATCTACTCCCCAAAACCAGCCACTGAAAACTCTAAGGGCACACAGTTCTACTCTGACACACATGGGGTCACCACATTTACTAATAAATTGTCTACTAACAGGTAATCTGAACCCAAGAGATGATAACTAAAATTCTATGTATTTCAGGCAATGTGTGGACTGTTATCTTGGCCTCTGCATAGAAACAGAACCAATACATAGATTTTAAATATAGCTATGGATAATATAAGGAGCTCTGGTGGCATAGTGCCTAAGACATTTGACTGGTAACCAGAAGGCTGGCAGTGCAAACCTACCAGCCACTTCTTGGAAGGAAGACTGAGGAATCTACTTCCGTAGTGATACCACCTCAAAAACCCAAGGAGGGGTCGCTATGATTCGGAACAGATTTGACAGCAGTGAGTTTGGTTTTTTTTTTTTTAATGGGTAATACAGCTGTGGGTACAATATAATTTGAAATAAAGAACCCTGGTGGCACAATGGTTAAGTGCTCAGCTGCTAAACATAAGGTCAGCAGTTCCAACTCACCAGCTGCCACGAGGGAGAAAGATGTAGCTGCATGCGTCCCTAAAGAGTACAGCCTTGAGAACCGTATGGGGTGGTTCTACTCTGTCTTCAAGGATCAGGGAGTCAGAATCAACTCCACAGCAATGGGTTTTTATGGGTAGACTGGACAGAGCAGAGAACATGTATTCAGAGGGCCCTACATGCCAATGCTGGCTTGACTCCATTTACTAGCTAAGGTGACCTTGACCAAATTTTTCTATGTACCACAGCCCTCATCAACAAACTGGAAATGAGAGTATCAAAGGAGACATTGGGGGTTAAAAAGACATTGTCCATGCAAGCCTTTCCAACCCCCACACTCTATACAATGTCCTCCTTCCTATCTACTTGTGTTACTGGGAAAAAAAAAAAAACCAAACTCACTGCCATCGAGTGGTTTCTGACTCATGGCAACCCCCATTGGGTTTCCGAGGCTGTAAATCTTTATGGATGTAGATGGTCCGGTCTTCCTTCCACGGAGCAGCTTTGTGAACCGCTGACCTCCGGGTTAACAGTCAAGCCCCTTATCCACCAGGCCACCAGAAAGCCAACTGATTATCATCTCCCTGTGCCTCCACTCCCTCATCTGTAAAACACGGGTAACAGTAGTTACTCTGCAGGGGCGTTCTGAGGATTAATGAGCCAATACACGTAAAGTCTCAAAACAGTGCCCAGAACAAGAGGCATTGTGTCTATCACTGTAGCATCGCTTATCTTGAACACGCGACAGGGAGGGGGGAAAACCTCCACGACAGTGTCCTGTTTGAGGGGTTTCACGTGCCCAGGCGGCGGGATGTGCTCCGATTGTTTCATTTTTACTAGAACGTTTGAGAGTCGCTCTCCACGTAGCCCTCACGGAGAACCAAGAAATCCCGTCTCCTGAACACCGACCCTGATTGCCCTCAGGGAAGCGGTCCAGAGAAACCGAATCCAGTCCCGTCACTAACTATACTGAGCCACGGTGCTAAGAAGGGGCCAAGCGTTCAGGGTCTGCATGGAAAACTCTCGGTTTGACTCTTAATAACTGTGACCTAAGACAAATAACACGCCCTGGAGGCCTTGTTTTTTCCCTATGGATAATGCGGGGAAAACACTTCCTAGTTTACAAGACCGTCCCACGGATTATGAGGTGTAAAGAAAGCTGCACACCACGAAACGAGCGCTCAACATCGCGCTGAGCGGGACACTCCTGCAAAAAGAGCCACGTTGAAGGCCCTGAAACTGGAAGCCCCATTTCTCGCCGCCGCTTCCGCGTCGCCAGGCCCCGGGGGCTGAAAAGAAGGGAAGCAACAGGTGAGGGCTCTCGGGCTTCCTGCCCTTGCCTTCCTGGGACCGCAGCTCCACAGGAGCGGGAACACCCGGCCGGAAACAGCTGCTCGCCGGTCAGTCCCCGCTGGGCGCCTGGCCTTAACACGTGCAGGGGCGGGCCCGCCAGCCCCTCCTCCCCTGGCCCGGCCCCTCGGTCCGTTACCTGCTCGGCTTCCGCCAACCACAGCCAGAGCTGCCGCCAGGTCCGGAATTTGTACCTGTCGCTAAACAGGAAGCACATCTCCGGGCTGGCGTACCGGGACGCCAGCGGCGAGCGGTAGCTGTCCGGCCCACCGGCCGCCAGCTGCACGCCGTGGTCACCAGCCGCCGCCATCTCGCACACGCCACCCCGATAGGGGGCAAACAAGGGCGGAAGCGGAAGCCAGGCGGGGCGGGACTTCCTTCATTTGGTCCAGCATTCCGGGATCCCGGGATTCGCGAGCCCTTGAGGCTGGAGAGTGTCTTGTGAACTGCTGCTAACCGCTGTTAAGTTTCTCTCACTTCCTTGGTGGGAAACATGATAGCGCTATTTAGCGTTATTAAACCTATTAGCCGCTCTGCGCATCAGTTTCCCAATCCGAGAAGAGGTACAATAAGACCTGCCTCAAGGTTATTGTGATAATTCAGTGATTTAATACATGTAAAGCTCTTAGATAGAAACCTGGACACATAGAAATCCCTGCATGTGTTTGCTGTTCTTCTCATCATCACCCACCCTTCTCTCACTCCTACGGGCTGCCTGGCACCAAGCAAGGTTTTTGGGAGAAACGAAGATGCCCAGGAAATCGGCCCAAGTTACTGAGAGTGTCCCTTGAGCGAAGTTGCAGAAAAATGCAAGCGTTTATAGGTACGAGAACGAGACTCCTAGTTAAGTCGAACTACAGATGCAAATCCGTCCGACTTCAGAATCTGCTCTCGTAGCAGTTCAGCCGTATAGCTCCCGGTCACACTTCCGCGGCTTGCTGAGGCGTTCCTGGGCCCCGAACACCTCTCTTCTCACTTCCTCCTACTTAAGTCTCACCCCAGAAAGAGCTCCCTGGTGGTCCTACTCTCCTCTGCTTGGTGAACAATAATCAAAACCACTAACGTGTAAGGATGTCTCACTAGCTATGGGTCACTAGCCTGAGTACTTTACACACGCGATCACACTGAAGCCTTGTTTGGGTTATTAACTGAAGTAATGCAAGTCAACCTGTAGGCACAGTGCACAGAGTAAGTGCTCATTCCGGCTAGCAGCTGTGATCATCCCTGTTTTGCAAATGACAAAACAAAGGCAAGGGCAGGTTGAGTAAAATCTTGAAACTGCCCATGCAGAAGAGGGACAACTAAGATTTAAATGCAGGCCAATAGGCTCCGGACAGCTGGGTCTGAATTCCAAATGCACCCTTTCCTATTCAGAAGCAGGTTCCACACCCATTTGAAATGACCTCTCTGAATGAGACCTCCCAGGGGAATTCCATCTGCAATTCCCAGCTTGGTTCTTGGGGGCACTCCCCTTTCCCAATGACCTTAGTACTTCAAGGAGCTCTGGTAGCATAGTGGCTAAGGCACTTGACTGCTAACCAGAAGGCTGGCGGTTCAAACCCCCCAGCCACTCCTCCTCAGAAGGAAGGTTGGGCAATCTACTTCCGTAGTGATACTGCCTCTGCAACCCAAGGAGGGGTTGCTATGAGTCGGGGCTGACTTGAAGGCACATAACAGCATAGCACTTTAAGAGCATGAGAACTGCAGATTGGATCTCAAGCTTTCCAAATCTCTTCTGTGATAATAACTTCTTTACCTGTCACCTTATCATTCCCTCCTTCACTTATTCACAGATTCATGTAGAAACCTATGGAGCACCCTAGCAGTGTCCTTTGTGCCCCCACCCAACACCCCCACCCTCCCCACCCCCACCCCGGTCTGGACCCTCTTAGGTGCCTAAAGACCTCCTAGCTTTCTCCAGGCCTCGCTCAACTCTCAGGAGACTTCAGTGTTTTTGCCTTTCCATTAATGGCAAACTTACTGGGGGCGAGGCCCACATCTGTCTCAGCCACTCCTGGCACATGGCAAAGGGTGCAGCACAGTTCAGATCCTCAGTGTCTGCTGAATGAATGAATTTGATCTCTACCCAAAAAGAGCCTAGTCCAGCGAGAGAAATTAAGGCCCAAAAAACCACAAGACAAGGTAGATCTGAATACTGTGGTTCCTTTTCCTCTGACCTCACCCTGCAAACCTCTGTGTCCCTATCCCATGCACTCAGTGGTCAGTGCCCTTTCCAGAACACTGTGGCCGTCAGAGAAGCCCGTCAAGGGCTCAATACTGATGTCTTCTTTCACCTTCTCTCTTGGGCTGCAGAGGACTGGTTTTTGGGATGAAGACAAACAGCTCTGGCAAGATGAAGAATTTGCTCCCTGCAACTTCCACTCTTCACAGAGTCCTTTGGGGTGGCCACGTTTATTCTTCTCATCTTGCACTGTAACTATTGCAAACTCAGTGCTCTCCTCAGTCTTGCTTACCCTCTGTCTTAGCTCTCTGGTGCTGCTGTAACAGAAACACCACAAGTAGATGGCGTTAACAAATAGAAATTTATCTTCTTACAGTTTAGGAGACTAGAAGTCCGAATTCAGAATGCGGGCTCTAGGAGCTGGGTGGAGGCCCCTTGACCTTGGGCTTCAGCTCTGCCTTCTGGGCCCACTGGAGCAAGCTGGAGGCTTCTCCTGCTGGCTGCTGAGGCTGACAAACCCAAGACTGGCAGGTAAAGTGGCAGATTGTTGGCTCCCAGGCTGTGACAGCAATGACCCCAAGATCAGCAGGCAACATGGCAGGCCACTGGTTCAAGTCCAGGAACTAGAGATGAAGACTCAGCCAAATGCAGGATCCTTTCAATATATACTCAGGAGCTCTGCTGGCATAGTGCCTAAGGCATTTGACTGCTAACCAGAAGACTGGTGGTTCAAGCCCACCAGCCACTCCGTGGCAGGAAGACTGGGCAATCTACTTCTGTAAAGATTTACTGCCTCAGAAACCTAGAGGGGGTTGATTCAGTCAACTTGATGGCATAGTGCTAAGGCACTTGACTGCTAACCAGAAGGCCACTCCTCAGAAGGGAGATTGGGCTATCTACTTCTGTAGTGATACTGCCTCGGAAACCCAAGGAGGGGTCGCTATGAGTCAGGATCGACTCAATGGCAGTGAGTTTGTTTTTTTCATATATACTAGAGCTCTGGTGGCGGAGTGCCTAAGGTATTTGACTGCTAACCAGAAGTTTGGCAGTTCAACCCCCCCAGCCACTCCGTGGCAGGAAGGCTGGGCAATCTACTTCTGTAAAGATTTACTGCCTCAGAAAACCAAAAGGGGTCATTATGAGTCAGAATCAACTCGATAGCATTGTTTTTATTTTTATTCGGTTTTCTATATATATTAGAAGCAGGCCACACCCAGAAAGCAACTCTCCGTCAACTGATTAAAACTGCTCACAGCAGATTCCACCATGGAAATGATTATACCACACTCATATCTTCATCCAGCTGCCAAGCCACTCAAGAGCATGGTCCAGCCAACTTGACACACGACTTTAACTACCACACACTCTTTTCCGCCTCCACTTCACTTTAGGAGTTTCTCCCCCCATCTTCTATCTTTTCAAGCAGAAAGGGATCTTTCTCCTTCAATGATTTTATCTGGAATCTCTCCAGTTCTGCCTCCTTTCACTGCTGATTTTTTTTCCCCCCAAGGCACAGGTCTTTTCTGCTACAGAAACATCTTCACTTGGCCCAGTCTCCCACACCATGGAGTCCAGTTTCTCTGGCTGCCTCTTCACCAACCATCCCTGGCCACTTCTTAGCTGTGTGACTTGGGCAAATCGCTCACTCTTTAAGCCCACGGGTCTTCTTACCTGTGAAATGTGGTTGGTGACCCCCAGGACTTACTTGAGGAGTGTAGACCCCTCAAGTTGGTGACTCCCAGGACTTACTTGAGGAGTGTAGACCCCTCAAGTTGGTGACCCCCAGGACTTACTTGAGGAGTGTAGACCCCTCAAGTTGGTGACCCCCAGGACTTACTTGAGGAGTGTAGAGTAGATGCCGACTCCCTGGTCCTGTGTCTGGAACACCTGTGTCCAGAGCCCCCCACCCCGTTCCACTCCTCAGGACTGTGTGACGCAGCTTCTGACCTCCGCCCTTCCTGCACACCACACACTCACTGATCCCCAGCATCTAAGACACAAATCCAAAGGTCCCTTCCCACAATAACACATCCTTGTTTGCCTGTATCTGCATAAGGAGCCCTGGTGGTGGAGTGGTTAAGCACTCAGCTGCCAAGTGAAAAGAAAGATCGGTGGTTTGAACCCCCCAGCCATTCCATAGGCGAAAGGTATGGCAGTCTGATCCATAAAGACGGACAGCCTTGGAAACCCTATGGAGCAGTTCTACTGTGTCCTACAGGGTCACTATACGACATAATCAACTTGACGGCAACAGGTAAAGCATTTGCATATAGAAATCCTGGAAGGACACAGAAGCAGCTAATAAAATCGGGGACAGTGAGGGCGTGCAGGGAGTGAAGCAGACAGAGCTGAAGCCAAACCTCCCAGTGTCCATCTCCAGGTTGTTTTGATTTTTTGAACTAAGTTTTTTTAGTTGCTTTGTTTACTTATTACCAATTCCAAGCAATTCTTGAAGGTTTTTTTCCTGTACTCATTCATCCCTCCTGGCTGACTGAAATAGTTACCATTTTTTTATAATCTCCTTCCCTCTGCTTTGAAAACTAAATTGTGCTGCCTTTTCCTCTTCCGGACTGTTTCTCAGTCTACTTTTGATAACCCATCCTTCCTTCTCTCACTCCTGGAAAAGGAATGGTAGGAATTTCCTTAAGGTTTAACTCGCCTCTCCTCCCCTTGGAAACTACTTTGGCACCTGCAAGGCTTACCTTCTGAATCCACAGGTTCTTCAAAGTTTGGGTTCTTGATGCTCAAAGGCCATCTAGACACCTGGCTGTCTCCATTACCTAAAGCAGTCTCTCAAAATCTGTAAATCTCTTATTTTTCTGTCTGAGGATGTGGCATAGATAAGGATCATTGCCTAATTCAATTTATTTGCTCCTTTTATCGATTCTTGTTTGTTTCCATTTTATGTCTTTTTAAACCTGTTGTTGTTGTTGTTATTTGGCGTCAAGTCGGCCTGGACTCATAGCGACCCCTCCTTGGGTGTTTCCGAGGCAGTATCACTGCGGAAGTAGGGTTGCCCAACCTTCCTTTTGAGGAGTGGCTGGTGGGTTTGAACCGCCAGCCTTCTGATTAGCAGTCAAGTGCCTTAGGCACTATGCTACCAGAGCTCCTTTTTAAACCTAGTGACA